ATTAGTCGGGTGCGTCATATTAGTCGGGTTGCGTCATATTAGGCGGGTTGCGCCACATTAGTCGGGTGTGTCATATTAGTCGGGTTGCGTCATATTAGTCGGGTGCGCCATATTAGTTGGGTTGCGTCATATTAGTTGGGTGCGTCATATTAGTCGGGTGCACCATATTAGTCGGGTTGCGTCATATTAGTTGGGTGCGTCATATTAGTGGGGTGCACCATATTAGTCGGGTTTCGCCATATTAGTCGGGTGCGTCATATTAGTCGGGTTGCGTCATATTAGTCGGGGTGCTTCTTTCAATCTGTTTGACTATCCCCCTTACCCCCACCCCACCGACTTTCTCTAACCTTCGTCCCTGATTCAGGTGCCGATATTTCCAATTGGTTCGTCTGTGAGGTCACCAACAGCACACTCAGCCTAGCTCAAAACATCGATCACTGTTGATCGAACAAGCATTCATAAATTCCGTTCATCTATTGACCAGTATCCAATAACGCGTGCAAATCGGTATTGCTCCGACAGGGTCCTTGGCAGATCGACACCGTGACGCTGACGCTGGAAATAGCTGTCTCGGTGCACCGCGCCCTCTTTCAACGGGACGCACGTGACGTCAGGGTGGAAAAGCTGGAATAATGTTTTTTTTTTTTTTTAATGTTTTTACATGTATATTAAACAAGCAAAACGAAACAAACAAAAAATTAATTAGCTTATAGGGGGTGATGCTAAAAAAAGGGGGAAGGGGGTTAAAAAGGAGGTTGCGTGCAGTAGCAACAAGAAGTTTCCAAGGGGAGCAACTGCGTGTCTTTATTCTGTAAAAACATGTCGTAGGAGACAAGGTGCCGTTTAAAAAAAAGTGGGGGAGTGGGGGGTTCTTAATTTTTAACGCTGGGTGTTACCATTCAAAGAGAGGTCCGCTGGGACGAGCATATTAACAATGTATATAACCAAGCAAACAAGACCCTAGGGTTCTTAAGGCGAAATCTAAAGATTGACAACTCCTGTGTGAAAGAAAGAGCATATAAAGCCTTTATCCGTCCGATTTTAGATTATGCATCTTCAGTCTGGGACCCATTTACCCAGAAGAGCATTGACAGGTTGGAGGCGGTCCAGCGACGAGCAGCACGCTTTGTCCTAAACCGCTACAGGAATACCTCTAGTGTTGGCAGCATGCTAGAAACACTAGGCTGGTCACCAATGGAGAAACGACGACGACAATCCAGGCTCTCCATGATGTACAAGATAAATAATGGGCTGGTCCACTGTTCCTGTATTAAACAGAAACTCGTCCCTCTCCCCCATAGACAGCGACGAGGCCATGACAGGCAATTCAGGCTCATACCAGCAAGAAGCCAGTATAGGAGCTGCTCATTCCTGGCCAAGACAATCAGGGACTGGAACAATCTTTCAAAAGGAACGGTTGAGGCGACAACACTAGACACATTTGTGTCTATTGCCTCAAGCCTTCAAACCCCTAGTGCATGATTTCCTCATCAACACCAGTAACAGAAACATTGCAAATCCCA